CCTGTTCCACACCACTACATAAAATATACATCTTATATATTTAGAAGCAAAGAATACTTTTCATATTTATTTAACTTCTTGTTCCTGAATTTGTGATGATAGTGTGCTAGTGCCTTTCTGTTCAAGTGCTGCATATTATATATACCTCGAGAAAACTACATTCAAACAAAACCTAAAACCTAAGCTTGTTAATATGTAAAATGATATATCTAATATAAGGTTTATAGATGTGAAACTTTTAATATAAGAATTGCAGGATTCTACTTCTTCAGATCCCTAGCAAACAGCAACCCGTTTCTAATTTCTTTCACTTTATGCTCCAAATTCTAATAAAGTTCTTTTTCCTCAGATTGGAACCTAGATGTTAAATAATATTTTTAACCAAGCCACGGGTCTATTATAGCCCTAATATAAAGTAACAACGACAAATTAATTACATTAGAGTTTAGACGCAATAATTTGGTCTAATATATATAACATTCTTCCTAAGTCTAGGTCAAAATAAAATAATGTTATATCATAGAACTATAATTGAAACGCTAAAAATTTTATCATATTTCGGTGGCTCCTGTAATTTAAAATCATGCCCCTGTTAGTATATGAACACACATTTTCATATTTTATATTATAGTATTTTTTTTTTTTTGCAAAAATAAATTATCACTCAAGGTTTCTGAGCAGTTTATTTTCGCGTAAGTTGATTAAAGACTTTAAAATTTATACCACACTACTGTGAACTTAATACCTTCCTATTTAATAAAACAAAAGCCAAGTTCTGCTTTTGTTAGTCATTAATGATTGCTATATAAAATAATTTCTAACCTTTCATTTTTTTAATGGATAATACTAAATAGCTAAAAAATATTCGGAAAAATAATTAAAATATGTTAACAATTCTATTAACATTAAATATTAAATTTAATACAAAAATACATTTACGGTGTACTTTAAAAAAAAACCATTCAATCATAGATTCCCTTGTTTGATAAATTTATAATAATTATTTTAAAATTCATATTTATTATAATTTCTAATTGATTAAAGGTGTAATTTTGTTTATATAATATATCAAGTTTAAAATTTTAAATAATTGATATTGTATATAATTATTTCTACTTCTCACTTTTAGAAATCTTTTTGATATACACACTTCTCATTATTCTCTAAAACTAAAAAAGGGTGATGAAAAAAGTTAGGCCGTTTAATTGACAAAAAAAATATTTATAAACTAATTTTTTTTTTTTGGTGCAATAAACTAATATGTTTGATAACTTTTAGAGAAATATTCATTTTTATAGTTTTTTCTCATCAGTAACTATATATACTTTCTAGTTGAATTTTTAATTAATTTTTTACTAATTTTCTAGCTATATGCAATTTATTTTTATTAGATTCGATGTACTTAGAGCATTTACATATACCTTCATACCATCTAAACGGGTTTATAATTGACATAGTTTTGACTAGGTGGAACCATTAGATCGACAAGAAATAAACTGCCATACACCAAACACGTACCAAAACAAGACAAAATCTAAAAACAAGCAATTAAAAGGTTTGATCCAACCAAATTGATAGTCTCTAACTGAAAAACTAGATAGAGTCGCTAATTAACCACAGCAAACCATGGTCTACTTATCTCATCAGTATATATTAATTTAAAACGAGAAATTACATAAACAAATGAAAGTTTCAGCAAGTATTAATAAATGTGCATAGTGAGGATAGAAAAAGAAAGTATATGTAAGCAAGTGTTGGGACAAAATGACGTCAGCGTCAGCATTAAACCAGTAATTATTCAATTTATAGGTGACAAGTTGCTGGTTAAATATTGCTGTTCTGCCAACAGAGTCCCTAGAAGGTTGTATTCATTCAGTAGGTGTAAAGGGTACCCTCGGCTCAGGTATAATAATATGCTAATAGTAAGCTTTCTACACAAGCTTTCGGCTTTTGCTCACTACTCTTTCATATATAATAAATATGGATTTATGTACTAGATTTGCAGCATATTTATTTATTAAATTAATGGGTCTACACTGAATAAGACAATAAACCCTTGAAAAGTACAGTAGTTGGTAATCGTGTCCCAGCTTATCTAGGCTTTATGAGTACATTATTATAAAACAAATTAACTTAATCCTTTTGTGTATTTATATATGTATACCCACATACAATACAAATCCCAAAATTGCCTTTTCGATCCACTTATATAATATATACATCGATGACTACTTTTTTATAATATACCAAAAGAGTGCATTGTTCTCAAAGAAACCTGTTTTCAGTTACTATTACTTTAGCAAGGGATAATATATAAAAGTGTATTCTTTCTCAATAATCAAGTCATTTAGCTGGAACTCCGTTAAGAGAAAAACGGGTGGTCTTCTAACTTGGAACTGCCAAGCTTGCTTCTAAATGTCATGTCCTGTGTAGACTGCAAATCCATGAAAAGAAATTGCAAAATATTTATGATTACTAATTTATATTATCTTAATACACTACAACAAAATAAGTTTTTAGTGACATTTAATATAGCGTTTAGTGGTAATAAAAATTGCTATAAAATCTTTTACCGGCATTTTCACATTAGTCATTATATGTGGTGTCGCTAAAATATTTAGTTGTGGTATTTTTTTATTTTCTAGTCGATGTGCAACTTGTAAGATACAAATACTCTTTAATTATCTTATTCCTAGTCGATGTGAGACTTGTAAGATGAAAGTTTTCTTTTACTTATATATTCTTTAATTTCCTTATTTTTTTAATTATCTTATCTTTTATTGAGTTTGGTAATGGTGAGTAATCTAATACAACTTAGAATAATAAGTTATAAGTTTAATTCAACCATACAAAATAAACTTGTAAGGTGAGAGTTATCATTCATTTATATATTTTTTAATTATTTTATTTCTAGTTAATGTAAGACTTAAGTTTTTTTCAATAAATAATTGTCGCTATTAGTAAAGTTTGGTGTGATGTAAATACATTTTTAGTAGTCATTATATATTAGTCATTAATATTTGTATTAAATAATAAAATAAAGACAATTAATTTATTATCATTAAATAATTGTCGATAATAATAAATTTTGTTGTAATAATATATCTATGTATATATGAATGAGTTTAATACGTAGTTAGTCCTAAAGTTTTTATACTATTAACTAATTATCAAAACTTATTTTTTATAACTTTTATTATATATTTATCGTAAAAATCAACAAATCTAATAACATATATATAATATTTTGTAATTAAATGACAATGAAGTACATAAATAAGTTATTTTAGAATAAATTACATTATTAACATGTTTGAATATAAATTTAAAAGTGTTTTTAAGAATTTATCTACTAAAAAATATTATTTATTTTCAATAAAAAAAGTTTTTAAAAACACTTCTAGTTTAACTTATATCCAGACGAACTTAATATAATTTTTTTGTATTTTGGAATTTGACATTAACCTCTCATAAGAATACGTAGTATATAATGTGTTTCACATATTATTTTTGGAACAATTAAGGATGATATATCGGTGTGATTTACTCATTCTGTGTATATGTATACATGTTTTTTATATTTGACATAATGTTTTATCGATCCAATGATCTGATAATATAGTTAATTACAGATGACAGAAGATTAGTTATGATGGAGGTGTTGCACTATGCAGAGAATGCAAATTCTAGAGCACACCCGGCTAAACAATAATCGGATAAACTTTGGTGGAGGTCTCATGGTATGCATATGAAAACACTAAAGCCACAAGACACAAATGATTAACATATTGATATGGACAGCTTAGGAGTCTGTGATAGCTTCCACATGTCCAAAAAGCAATGGTGCCAAATGTCCAGGGACGGCGCACCAAACAGACAATTGTGAAACCTCAATGTGGTGAAGGAGGAGAAGAATGTGACATGCATGTATACATACACTAATTGTGTTTAATTGTTATATAGTGTGAGACCCTCTGATCTAGTGGAATGATTCATTAATATTAACCAAGCATGTTTATGAGACTATGATCCATTAATTGCATATAGTTAATAATATATTTGGTTAAAATTAAGCAGAACTGTAGCATTGTTGTTTAAAGTGATGGAAAAGGCTTAGGGTACAATATAGCGGTGGAAGGGGGTGGCGTGAAAACTCGGTGTCACGCCGTCCAAACAAAGACCTTTCCATCTATCTGCCACCCCACGCGCAATCAATAACCTCATCTACAATATGTTTCTATATATGTCTATATATATATTATTCTTCTGCTTCTTTTCTGTACAACATTCTCTGATCTCATGCTCTTGCAAATACATATATATATATATAACTCTTCTACCTCTCTTTAAACAAACATTCACCTTCACTTTACTTCAACACATCTCTCTCTCCCTCCTTTTCTCTCTCTCTCTCTCTTCCTTTAATCCTATTTCAGTGCCTTTAGCTAGCAAGGTCAAGAAGAAGATGACGTTAACCCAAATTCCTGTGAGTATTCATATGTATAACGGTTGTTTCTTTTTTCTTTTCTCAACAGCATGTCAAGAGAAGTCTGAAACCTCCTTGAATCCATTTGGTAATAATCTTCTGGAGGGTTTTTCCATCTCAAGGGACTACAGCATTTAAAAATTAAAAAAAAAAAAAAAAAAAAAAAAAAAAAAAAAAAAAGAGCTTCTGATGTGTTATTATTCATGTGATCATGTCATGTCTAATTGTCTATCTACATTCTACAAGCCTCAAAAATGATAAATGGGTTTCTAGCTTGCTTTTCTTTCACATTTGTTAGTACTTTAATTTTCTTAACAAGAATGAATGGCACCAATCCAAGTCTGGTATGATTTGGTTTTGTCAACTGAGAACGTGTATATATCATGATCTTAACAGTAGAAAAAGAGAGAGATATGATGAATTTGAAAATTTTCAAACCATGAATGAAATAGTCTCCCCCATTAGCGAGAAAAAAATTAAGTCTATTAGTATTAGTTAGTTAGGGCTACATGGGTAGTGATTGTGTCTCTGGAAAATTGTGAAAATTAGCTTAAGTTGATGAGTGGAACTTTATCTGTATGATGGTTGCTAGCTGCTACATGGTGGTCGTGAATTGTGATCACGACAGCTAGGGCAGGTCTTTCTCCACCACCAGCAGGCGTTGGGAGTGCACTGCACTCAAAGAAATGTGACATGCTTGTGACAGCAAAGTCAAGCTTTTCGGCCAACTTTTGTGTTCAATATACTTTTGCCAACTTCATGTCATGCAAATAAAGGCACAATAAAAAGTGCTTCTTAGGATTAATCATAGGCCTATCTTGTTAGTTAATTTTTTTTATTAATGGTGGGTTCCACACATGGTCTGCCAATTTTGTCATTGCACATGCTGCACAATTGTTGGGTCCAATAACAAAGTTATACATCATCATCGTCATCATTACTTCTAAATATCTCATCCCTAGAGTTTTCTTTAGAGCTATAAGGTTGTAAATTTAATGACTTTGATGAAGAGCAGTGCAGAGCCAATGGCCATTGAATTTTGTTCCCTTATCTTCCAGTGCTGCCCCTTACCTGGCCAAAAGAATTTGAGCATCTTTTTTTTTTATGTTTGATAATTATTATTTTTCTCTCTTGGTGCACGTAAAAGAGAACAAGACAAACTTAATTTTATACTCATATTCAAATCAAAGCTAAAACATAAATGGTCTTATTGATTTCACATAACTAATTATGATCCTTTTCCTTTGTTTCTTTCAGGAGAGATCATCATCAATTGATATGGAATCATGTGTGCCTCCAGGATTTAGATTTCATCCAACAGAAGAGGAGCTTGTGGGGTACTACCTCAAGAGAAAGATCAACTCGCTAAAAATCGACCTAGATGTTATTGTTGAGATTGATCTCTACAAAATGGAACCATGGGACATACAAGGTATATATTAGTTATCACAATGCAATTTTGTCACTAATGTTTAAAGGCTCATAATAATCTTTTAAGTGACAATAATTAAAAAACAAAAGTCAACTTTAGAGATTATACCAATATATGTCATAACACCTAGCTTACATGGAGATATACATATTATGACATTATATATTGTTACAATAAGTTGATGTGGTTGAAATATGCAGATAGGTGCAAGCTAGGGTATGAGCAACAGAATGAGTGGTACTTTTTCAGCCACAAAGATAAGAAGTATCCAACAGGGACAAGAACTAACAGGGCCACTGCTGCTGGATTCTGGAAAGCAACAGGAAGGGACAAAGCTGTAATGTCGAAAAATAGAATCATAGGGATGAGGAAGACCTTGGTCTTCTACAAGGGACGTGCCCCTAATGGAAGGAAAACAGACTGGATTATGCATGAATATAGGCATCAAACCTCTGAACATGGCCCTCCACAGGCAAGTTAATTCATTTCTTCTCTACTTAAATTATACATAATATGTTTGGACATGAGTTAAAAATATTTTTAAAACTACTTTATTGAAAATAAATAGTATTTTTTAATTAAAAAAAATTTCAAAGTTAGTTCTAAATTTGTGCTCAATCAAACTTTATATCAAGAATTATCAATTTAAGTTGTCTATCTACTAACAATGAAAATTATAATTCAATATGGTAGTTTTCAATAATTTGTTTACTCTAATATTATGGAGAAGAAAAATAATCTCGTATGCATTACGTAAGTTAAGGAGAAGCAAAACATGTCGCCATTTTGATCAATATAGTGGGGTCATCAAAACTATTTTAACCACTCAAAACAGTACTTTTCCTGCTCCATACACTTCATTTTCAAACATATACGCTCTCTTTTTCAAATTGCACCAATGGAATGACACTTTTGAACACAATTTTTTTGGAATTTTTTTATTTTTTACAATATCCTTGTGAGTCTTGTTGAACGGTATGGAATCCGGCCTCTTGCTTCTCTTTTCTCCCTTTTATATACATGCATTTGACCTTTAAATTCTTTCATGTAATAATTTGAACCAAATGGTTTTTAGATTATTTAATTTTTTTGGGAGAAATTCTATTTAAATATATACTTCGGGTTTATCCTCTTTTTTTTCTTTCAGTATTTCAATTTTTAATTATTTTGTTAATAAGTACTTAAAATACTAATTAAAGTAATATTCAACATATTATATTAAAAAAATTTATAGTTACCTTAAACAATTATTGGACACTTTTTTTTTATATTTTCAACATAATAAATATTGTTTCATATCAATGCATATTTTTTAATTTTATTTTCATATATCACTATCCTAACTGCACGAGTTAAACATTGATCGACCTTAAACTGTGGTGATGAAATCATGCTTATTAATTATTTTTTTTTACAATAAAACTCATTACAAATTTATATTATTATTATTATCATTATTATGAAATTTTCAAATCAAACAATGATGTGTTAATTTGTTTTAATTTAATGACATCCTTATAAATGAAAGCTATTTAAGGTTGGAAATTGAGTATCAAAATACGCTTTTGTGTTCAATACCAAACACGTACGTAGATATCCATTAGTATATATATATATATATATATATATATATATATATATA